CCGCGGATCCGCGGAGATTTCACAGGCCTGAATTTGAAACATGTGGGTGAAACGGTTCTCAAGTTATCGTTGACCGTAGCCAAATGTTGACGGACGGACGGACATACGACGGACGACGCCCCATGGCAATAGCTCATCTTGACGATGTCAAGGTGAGCTAAAAACTCCCATGATTTAGATTAAGGTGGAATTAACACTATAAAGTTTTACAAAAAAACTGGACAGTTAACTGAGCTGAATAACTTTTCGATAATCAATAGAGAGTAGGAACGCAAATTCTGATCAAACGAATTTTATCAGCTAGTTTACCCTGATAGATTGATAATCCAATTAATATTTTATTACAAGTTTAGTGCCATTTTCTGTATACGGCTCTTGATACAAGGATCACACAGTCATTTAGGCACTTATATAAATGGCAAGCTTTATTGTATGCTCTGAGTACAGAATCTACTGTACAATTATACTACTACTACACTAATCTACAGATTACCAACTACAGCACACACACACACACCTCGCACTTCAAAGAGGTTATATTCGCTCGACTTGAGCAGTGGATGTGAGCAGCAGAGCCAGGGAAGCTGCGCTCGCAGCTGCGGCACCACATAGTGCACCAGCAGGCTCAGCACTCCGACCATGATGTGCAGCACGTGCCTCAGTGTCGGCTGCAACGGTAACCACGGTTACAAGCAAACAACACAACGAATGAACATTTAATATAAATCATGCAACAGCTACCGCCAGATGAGGATTGGTGGTGATATGTATTGCTGGGTCAGTACACGTTCTCAGATCTTTTAAGTCTACACACGTCCTGGTATTGCTACAATTTTGGATACACGGTCAAAACAGTAGCTGGACTATGCTCCTGCAGTAGCATGCTAGAGGTAATTCAGAAAGATCCACAAACGCATCAACGTACCTGTAATCTAGTAAACACCGTACTCAGGTGAATGGCAAACACTAGCACGGCTGCACACACGCACACCACGAGGTCCGACTTTAACCGCTCAAGCTGAAATATTGAAACACACAACGTTAAATCATGGTCATCATAAAACAAGGCTGTTTCCACATCGTAATTTCCCCAGTCCTTAAAACAGACTGGTAAAGTCCTCTGTAATCCTTTATAATCTATTATCATTAGACGATGGTAGTACCCTAAGAAGTTTATGTTTGTACATTTTTTGTACATGCATGTAGCATAGCCAAGAAAGAGCAGCAGGTAAACAACAAGTATGCTGGGAAGACTGTCCCCGCCCCCCCTCATACCACAGTGCTCTTCAGCTTCTCTGGCAGTGGGTCAATGATCTCATTCTGCTCCTTTTCCTTCGGTGGTCCAGCTGGCTCTTCTTCTGGCCATGCATGGTCACTTACGATGGACCTGGCAATACGAAGTGAACGTGTGCTCAGACACTACAAATAACGTGACACCAATACCTACAACTCTGTGTAAGAATTGGAGATGAAGTTCTACACAGTTGACATTTGGGCCTTTGAAATTATTAACTTAAGTCACATGAATCGAAGAAAAATAGATTAGGTCATTAGGTCATTAGGTCTCACTTATTAGCAGATTACTTCAGTTCGTGCTTCTTACTTTCAAGTTTGTGCTGTTATGGTATATAATATAGCAAATAATGCACCCATTCTTCAGTGTTGAAACTGTTCCAACCAGTTCTTCAATTTCTTTGTTAAATGCTACCACAGACACGAGTGCATCTAATTCTGACTAAAGTGCACCTCATTCTGTCAGTCTGTGTTGTAACTGGCCTACGCCGCTGTACCACGCCTCTATTACTTCATGCAAATTACCATGAACAATTTGAAAGGTCAGGGTCTTAAGAGAAACGCGTCATATCAACATGTAACCGGAAACAAAAAGTCAACAAAGCAATCCCAATGGTTGCATATGTCTGTGAAAATAATGATTACTCAAACAAATGATTACTTTAAAGTTCTATAACCTATTATTGCACCTATTCTTTTTACAAAATATAATTCAGGAAGGTTTGTACTCATTATGGTTAAATTGCTTCATTGTAGCTATATTTTATCAACAATAGCATTATGTTTCAGATTTTTAACCACTCTAAACAAACTTTATCTGGTAAAAGTTAGTGCAAAATTAGTGCTGCCAGTACTTACATTTTATGCTAATAATAAACCCCCCATAAAAAGGTGAGAAAGAATTTGAAGTGCATGTAACATATAAAATTGTCACATTCGTTTTTGAAGAAAAACCAGCAGCATGTGAGTGTCTCATCGAAAAACAAGTATTTCTTATACAGATCTCATGATTTTTTTTTGCTCTCGATTTTCACCATCTTTTCTGTGTAACTTACCAGAGCACGCCTGGATCACTGGCACTACGGCTAAGATGGTAGGAAATGGCTACCAGAAGGCCACAGTAGATGGAAAATACGACGTGGTGACTAGACAGTGGTTCCTGAAAGGATGAGTGCAAATTTTTTAGCAACTTGGTTATTTTATGTTGTCAGAAAACCCTATTTAAGCATTACATTGCCCAAGTTACTCAAAATATATGAGCATTTATTTCCTGGAAAATGGCAGATTTTATACAGGATAACCACTGTTCAACTGGCCTGCAACGTTCAATTACATGCAAAAAATTAATTACTGAGAGTGAGATGAAAGTTCAAGTCTGTGTGCACTTACTCTGAGAGCACCGTAGCAGAACCCGTAAAGCACTGTACATGCAAGCAGACTTCGGCATACTCCATACAGAGCTGCACCCAGACCCGTCGTCGCTAAAGCACATGAATAAAAATTCTAGTCAGACTACGCACAGTTCCACTTGCATGACGTGTAAACTGCAATAACACAACATGATGACACAACAATGGCTACCAATCTTTTTGTCATCTAGACTTTTTATTATTTTTATTTATTTTTAATGTTTTGCCATTTGTAGTCTCGACCCGTCACTAAAGGGCGGGATCAGAGGATCAACAGCAAACAAATGCTTTGCGAGACTGTATCTCTTAAGGGGGGCTTATGTCGGGCTTGCGAGCCGACTTGACTGGAAGCAACTGGATTTCGAGCAACTGGAAGCGATCGGAGCGGTAGTTGCGTCCAGTTGACCACTGTTCTATTCCGAGCAACTAGTGGCGGCCAGTCGCAGGCAGTCGCGTCGCAGTCGACCGACCTAAGCACTGCAGTCGCAGTGAATTGCAGCCAGTTGCTTCCAGTCAAGTCGGCTCGCAAGCCCGACATAAGCCCCCCTTTACAGTTCACATGCAGGAGCTGCAGAGTTTGCAGTGTCTCACAAAAAAAACACAATAGACCAGACACCTTTATGATGTCCTTTGCAGCAAACAGATTCAGGCTATATGTAAGCACATCTTATGCGCAACTCCAAGCGAAATTCACACAAAGATTCATTGTAGCATTTTCTTTCACAACCAGGGGCCTATTGTCAGACACAAAATTTGTTTCAACATTACTCTTTACATTAACTTTTCCTGATAGACCATTGACAGAAACATGGTAAAGTTGTGTTTCTGAAATGCAGTGTATAGACATCTGGTATATAATAAAAAAAAGTTCATGTTAATACCAATATTAAGACTAATTTTGTTCCTGACAAAATGGCCCCCCATCTTTTGTAGAAAATTTTGATTCAGTTGTATGATATAAGTAGTTATATAGTCTAATAAACCACACTGAAAAACCTACCCGTGCCTCCAAAGCAGTGGATATCTATCTGCTCTAACAAGTAGGTGGAGAATGTGTTAACTTGGGGCAGCAAGCCCAGTGTGAAGATCACGGGAAAACACAGAATAAACACTGAAACATAATAACAACAATGAATCAGAAGACTTGTTAATCAATTATGTGGCCAGTGTGAACATGTAAAACAGTAATTCGTAAATTCGATTTTTTTTCCAATTCTTAGAATCTTTAAATCATGAATAGAGCCACGGGACTTTAGCAATAATGACACACACAAAACACCTACATAAAACAACGTTATTGTTTTAAAAAGATTCAATGCTGCTATGCTATTCACAGCCAGTGAAATTGTTGCACAAAACATTGGCTCACTCGCCACAACGTCATACGACAAGATGTACATGTTCACCTTTGATAAGGTCACACGTGAACAGTAGTAGATGTAAGCTGGTGACCTGCACACCGTACAGAGTGAGAGGGTTCTTGTCGTCCACGTGATGCGCACTGTTCTCCAGTATCAGTGTCAGTGAGCAGCAGACGCAGAAGTACGCGGGACGGCTAAATGCTATGATTCTGTTGTAACCCTGCGAAAAACCACATACAACAAATTATATCCACATACAACAAATGATATCCTAACATGTCTATCACATGCTGCAGCTAATTATTACAGGCTTTACAACACATTGTGTCTATTAGATCAGTAGACCAGGAAATAAAACCAGATTACTGTATAAGCCGTATTTTTAGCGTACAGATATTTTTGCGAATTCAGACTTGACGGACATTTCACATCAATGATAAAACAAGTATGCTATATAAGCCTGTTACTACAGTAATAAAATTATGAGGAAATATTATTATTACTAAAAATTTGACTAAATCTTTCCTCATAATTTTCTCATCAATCAAGTTATTATTATTATTATTACTACAAATTTGACTAAATAACTCAATAGATAAGGGAGCTTGACATCGACTCTGTAAGATGAGCATGGTTGAGAGGTGGGGTGAGACTTACATGTGTGGGTGAGGCTGCATCAGGTTGTACACTCTGAAAATAGGAGTAACAAACACATTAAGCTGAAATGTCACACAACCGCACATACCAGATTGTAAAGAATTCCAACAGCTTACATGCCTTGGTTAATGTAACCTCCCTGTCTGGGCACATCAGATTAAATTTTGATCGTACAAAGTTGCGATTATTATTCTGTTGCTCATGATACTAGAATACACAAGAGGCCGGCACTCCGGCATCTCTCACCACTGTGAACTTGCTTGCATCTCACTATTGTAACATATGTATACCTTGAGCAATGAATATTGGCAACCAGCCATGATGAAGCAGAAAAGGAAAATCCAGAAGTCTTGGAAGAAGTTATGAGCGAGCATCAGGGCACCAAGAGCCCCCACTGCCATGGCCAGCAAGACAGCAATCACATTATCCATCACTCCTACATTCCTGTAGTAAACAAAAACGAACTTTTACGCCACTCAAGTGCATCTGAGAAACTGTAACTGATGTGCGCACAAGACTATTCTGTGTCCAATGTAAGGCAACAACAAAACACCTACTGCATTAGAGCAAAAATCAACCAAGGTTACACGAATAGGATGTCAAAAGGGCACATTACACCACAATTTAGTAGCGTAAAATGGATAAGATTTTACTGTGTGTTAGCATCATAAACGTGCAGTTTCACACAGCAGTGTACCTATCCAATAAGGCAAGCAGCTCAAGCCGGTCAAACTGGATCTTGACAAATGGCAACAGTGGCAGCAACCAGAAGCGGTAGAAGTTCTTGTTTTTAGCCATCTTCTCATCGAGACGGTTACTGAGGCTTGCTTCCGTGTCCGTGCCAAGCCGTGAACTCGTGTGCGAAAAATTACTGTCGCCAACGCCTAAGAGTAGGGTACAACAAAGGTGTTACAGTTAGCCATATAACAGGACTCCACAGAGGTGTTGTAGGTAGGTGTTTTGTTTGTCCAAAGTTAATAGTGCAAAAGAACACTTCAGATATTTTACAATCATCAGTGAAATAGAACATTATAGTGATGTCATAGTTTAAAATGGAAGTGGACTCTACAGAAATGGTAGTTAAACTGTAAGATTATAGCACACACATAATTTATATATACGTTTGTCATTGATGCAAGTGTGGTGAAATATTACAATATGAAATTCTCAACCCATCATGAGTTTACTATATTGCAGAGCATCGTATTGTTTTGCTCAGAGCCACTTGACAGTATTTACAACCCATGCTTGGCACAGACTGCCACACCAGAACAAGACATTAAAGTTATTACATCACTGTAAATACTCAAAGTAAAAAACTCATGTCCACTTTTCACAAAATGTAAGTGATTCTGTTCACTTTTTATGGTTAAATTGCTGCATTATACTTCCTATTTTGCTATTCTGCTCGATGTGAACAAACACTCGTGGCTCATACATAGCCCATAGCAAGAATTTAATGTCGTGATCAATATATCAAATCGCCCAGGTTTTTTGGATTTTTAACTAGTTGAGAAACAATCTTATCAGGTAAGAATTTGAGGATACATTTAGTCCCGTTAGTACTTACTTTACATGCAAAAGAATTGCGACCAAAATTTTACAAAACACACCATACAAAATTCGTGACATAGTCAAATTAATCACTTCATACCAGAAAGACGCGAGCGGTCTAACAGCGCCTCAAACGGAGTCCTCTGGATGCCACGGAGACGTGCCGCCGTGCTGCCAAGGTGGTCAAGGTCAACCGTGGTGACCTCTCCAGAGGTCGCGGTCGGCCGAAAAATCTGCACGGGCGCAGTCGTGTCCATGACGTTCACGGCAGAGTTGGCCGACGACGTCGTGCTACTGGTCCCGGATTGTGTTTCCCTGAATGCAAGAGTGAGACGATGAGTGTGTAATTTCAATGCAAAGATGGTAGAACTCAGTACGTCGCGCATAGTTAAAACCAGCATTCACTAGCACTGTAGCAACCCAAAGTTTCAAAGTTGTCGATACTGGTGCACCTGGGCTAGTAATGTTTTTGTATTTTGTATAGAGTACGGTAAGAACCTGACTTGTCACAATACAAAAGATACTGTACTGACACATTTACTTAAAGGGATACTTACACTCTAAAATTTTAGGGTATATTATGATAGTAAGTGCATAAATAATAGTATATATTACCTACAAATTTCTATAATCATGCATTCACATTTGTCATAAAACAACAGTGAGTTTCGAAATCTTCATTTTTGGCCGCTGACATGACACTCCCCGATTGTGCTGCCACCCTGATGAAGTTGCGCTATTGCAGATTCATTCTGCACGTTACAGACTGACGGCTAATCACAAAAGTCTAATTATATTTATACCCAACTGCTATTTAACCGAAAAATTTTACTTTAGGACAAATTCATCCATATTATGACTGAAACTAAAGATATTGCAATCATTCTCCTCTTAAATTATTAAATAAGAAACATCCTCCGTCTATGGCCTGCAGCTGAAAGTAGATGGCTAGTAGTGGCACCACCGTCGCTGTAAGCAATGCTAAAGCCGTTAGTTTTAAAGCATTTAAAAAATATATTTCTAATGAATATTGAACAATGAAATTTTTTATATAGCATAATTTTAACCTATTTTAACTAGAAATGTGCAAGCAACCTAGGGTCATGTGTCCCTTTGAGCTTTTTGGGGTGCCAATGCAATGATTTGGATACATACATCGCTATGTTTATGAGGACTTGTCACGTCAATTCATTACACACTGGTAAACCACCATAACATTTCAAAACATTGAATATGTAACATATCTTTAATTGCAATATGAAATCGAATAAATACAACATTGTCACTAAATGACGTACCACTGATCAGGAATCTTAGCCAGCCTTTGGGCAATGCCAGCACTGCTATCACCAAATGTGTACATCAGCCAATTACCTGCAACATTACCAACAATTCTATAGCAGACAATTGCATAACACAAGTAAAAACAACAAACCTTATTAAAATAAAATTGACATTATTGCAAAATCAGAACTTTTAATAGCAACTTAAAAAAGTCAACTACAAATACAATAATTAAGCATACATGGTGAATAGTTTAGAGTATAACTAGAACTATATCTAGAGTCTATATTGGAGAATAGCAAAACACTAGGTGATACACCGGAAAATATAATTAATCTGTACTCAGTCTTGAATTAACTACTAGTCAACAACAACAGTCTATATAATTAAGGAAAGCTATTAATGTCACTCTGAAACTAGTCATGTTAGATGACAGATCAACCTCCAAAAGGTAGCTACTGAATTAACTCTGAGGATAGCAGGTAACCATATTGTAATTACCCAATTCATCCTGAAAATAGTGGGTGGCTCCCTGAGTAGTATCCTCATACGAGGTGGCCAAGTGGCCAGCAGGTGGCTCTAGCGCAGCACTAACTGGACCACTGCACTCTAGACGAGAGCTATGCCGTGAAGACCGGCTACTGCTGCTCCTCCTATAAACAAGATAACGCACATGAACAATTGGTACACATTATTTTGGTTCATCTCAGTTCGTTTATCAATGTCATTTAAACGTTATTTCCTTCTGAAATTCTATCTATCTATCTTATTTTCTTCTGAAATTTTAATTCTAGCCATCTTGC